AAATAAATAAATAAATAAATAAATAAATTGGAGGAGAGGCGGGGGAGCAGAAGCAAACGGACGAAGCGGCTGCGGCTGAGGCCGCCGCTGCGCCTCAGGGTTTAGGGTTTAGGGTTTAGGGTTTAGGGTTTGGGACCTGCTGGGAGACTGTTTGGGTCCTCAAGTCTTGCATTTTGAAGAAGGAATTAACTTCTCGCAAAACAGCTGCAAAAGTCTTTGGCAAAATTCTGCTGCGGTGCAGCTTCGCCATTGCTGCCAGCACCAAGTGTTCAGACAGCGACAGCTCCTGCCACTCAGGGTCTTGCTGCTGCAGCAGCAGCAGCAGCAGCAGCAGCGGCAGCGGCAGCGGCAGTAGCAGCAGTGCGCGGGGGCGCCGGAAGGAGCAGCAATGCAAGATGCAGCAGCAGCAAAAGCAAAAGCGAAAATGGCACCGGGCACAGGCAGCAGCAGAAGCAAAAGCAGCACAAGCAGCAGCAGCAGCAGCAGCAGCAGCAGCGCAGGTAAGAGGAATGATGTGCAGGGGTGCGCGAAGGGAAGGTAAAACAAAGACACGGAATCCTGGCACAGTTCACGCTGTTCGTGCTGCTGCTGCTACTGCTGTTGCTGCTACTGCTGCTATTGCTGCTGCTACTATTGCTGTTGCTGCTATTTCTGCTGTTGCTGTCGTTGCTGCTGCTGCTGGTGCTTACCTCCACGGTACTGATTGCATCTGCACACAATTTCAGCCGCAGTCCCTCCTTTTTTTGCTGCTGCTGCTGCTGCTGCTGCTGGCTTTCCCCCTCAGCAACGGGAGCAGCAGCAGCAGCAGCAGCAGGCTCCTGCTGCCAGCTGCTGCGGTCCCCCTCTGTTTGCCGAATAGGCGAGTGCAGCGGCGAGAGGGCCTCGGGGGCCTCGGGGGCCCCCCAAGCTGCTGCTGCTGCCTCAGCAGCAGCACGCGGCAGCGGGGGCCGCAGCAGCAGCAGCGGATGCACAGCAGCAACAATGAAGCTGCGGGCGTCTCGCCCCAAAGCCAAAGCGCGCTCGCACAGAGCCTGCAGCAGCAGCAGCAGCAGCAGCAGCGAAGGACACACGTGGAGAAGCAGCAGCAGCAACGGCTATTGGCGAAGCACCAGCAGCAGCAGCAAAGAAGCACGCAGCGCGGCCACGCCCGCAGCAGCACGCACGCCCAGAACAGCAGCAGCAGCAGCAGCAGCAGCAGTCTGACAACAAATTTGGGGTCCCTGAATTCCTTGTCGACTGCAGCACGGAAGGCCTTAAGAAACCTCTCGGCCTTTTGCAGGTCCCCCCCATCCTCCCCGCCGCCGCCGCCGCTGCTGCTGCTGCTGCTGCTGCTGCTGCTGCTGCTGCTGCTGGCGGCGAGAAGCTGCGGGGCGGCGACGGCGAGGAGGCTGGAGCGGAGGAAGGCGAGGAGCTGGGGTGTACGTACACCCGGAGACAGGGAGAGCTTCTGCATCGTGAATCTGCTGCGGATTCTTTTTTCCATAAAATCAATTAAATCCAAAACTGGAGAAAGGCAAACAGTGAAGATGTGGAGGCCCTGCGCGTGCTGCAGGTCGAAGAGGTTGTACAGCAGCTGCTGCTGCTGCTGCTGCTGCGCGCCCCCGCTGCTGCGCTCCCGCTGCAGCAAGCAGCACACTTCCGCGCGGTCCAGCACCAGCAGCACCGCCCGCCCCAGCAGCGAGCAGCAGTCCAGCAGCAGCAGCTGCAGCCGCTGCAGCCAGTCCCCGAAGCTCCCGCCCCCCTGCTGCAGCAGCTGCTGCTGCTGCAGGTGCTGCTGCAGCTGCTGCTGCAGCAGCTGCCGCTGCTGCAGCGCCGCGCACAGCCGACGCACGATGGCCTGCAGTATGGCGGTGTCGCTCGCGTACAAAGAACAGTTCACACGCACCACCAGCAGCTGCCGCTGCTGCTGCTGCTGCTGCTGCTGCTGCTGCACGAAGCGCAGCGCGACCTCAACTGCTGTTGTTGCACCTGAGCCTCGGGGCCCCAAAACCAAAACGCTGCTTTTCTCTTTAAGTTCGAGGCAGCAAATAAGTTTGGCAGCAAAGGCCCCAGCCACCGCCTCCACAGAAGCCCCCTTGCTGCTGCTGCTGCTGCTGCTGCGGGTGCGGATCGCAGCAGCAGCAGAACTGTCGCCCCGCAGCAAAGACTCTACTATGGGGGAAGGCTCAAACCCACTCTTCCGCGGGGGGCCCCCCGGGGGCCCCTCTAAAGATATGCTGTGCAGCTCGCCCCTGAGAGCAGCACGAAGCCGCTGCCGCAGCACGTGCTGCAGCAGCAGCAGCAGGTACTCTCCGGACTTGAGGCGGTCCAGCAGCACTTCGGAAAGGGGAGGGATCGCCTCAGCTTCCCTTTCTGCTTCTGCTGCTGCGGCTTGCGCTGCTGTTGCTGCTGCTGCTGGCTCTGGCGCGGCTGCTGCTGCCGCTGCTGCTGCTGCTGCTGCTGCTGTGTGCGCGTCTGCAGGGGGCCCCGGGGAGCCGCAGTGGCGCTTCGGTGAAGGCTGAGGGTCCTCTGAGGGGACCCTGGTCCTCCGAGGCCCCAAGGGGGGCCCCATAGTGGTGCCAGGGGGCCCCTATTGCCTTAAGTGCTGCAAAAGTGGACCCGGAGGGGCAAAGAGAGGCAGCAGCAGCAGCGAGGGGCCCCAGACAGCGCTGGGGGCCCCACGGCAGAAGCAAAGATATAGCGGAAAGCTGCAGTCTGGGGTGTTTTTTATTTATTTAATCAGTTATATTTTACAAATTAAAAACAAAAATGCTGCAGTTATCAAGATTAACGAATTTGAAAGACAAACGGAGGGCCCCAGAAGGCGCGGTGGCTTGGTGGTGATGGTGTTCGGGTGTACGTACACCTGAGCAGCAGGGGGCTTTAGACTCGAATCGGCTGCCAGAACATGGAACAAAATAAAAATATATTTTAAATAACTTTTATTATTTTATATTTAATTTAAAAGACTCTGTTTGCCTTTATTTGCTGCAAAAACCGCAGGAAAGCTGAGGGCTCCTCTGGGGGCTGGAGCCCTCGTGTCACGACTGGGGGAAAAATCACTGCAAACTAACTTTCAGCTCAAATAAATGAACAAATACAATTTAAAACCTGAATTATTAAAATTTAATTGTGTTTTGTGATACATTAAACTGGGGAATCTTGCAATTACACCCCAGCTTCCCCGGATTTTGTTGCATTGAGCCGCAGCTGTTGGGTGTAGCTGCCTGCCCGTGAGCGGGTCTAACTTACACCCAAGAAGGCGTCTTCTAAAGTGGAAAAGAATTTAAATATGATATGAATTAAACTTTATCTCCAAATAAATACTATTTTAAAGTGCAGCAACTCTAAAATATAGTCTGCGCATATATTTATCATAACACTTGAGCACGTGCGCTTCTTTCGCTGCTGCTGCAGCAAAGACCTTGCTGCTGCTCCAGCAAAGAAGCGTACAGGCAGCAGCAGCAGCAGCTGCTTCTCTGAGCTGCTGCTGCGGTGTCTGTGCAAACGCGCTGCGGCCCTCAAAAGAATCTGTGGGGCCTCAAAACCCAAGGAGCAGAACTGCACATAAAAGGACATTGAAAGTGCTGCTGCTCGCGAAGCCTCAGCAGCAGCCAGCAGCAGAACCCAGCAGCAGCCAGCACCAGCAGCCAGCAGCAGCAGCCAGCAGCAGCAGCCAGCAGCAGCAAGAACAGAAGAGCTATGGCCCTGCATTAAAGCTCTTCAGATTGCCGCTCGTGAAACATCTGCAGCAGCAGCTGTTGCTGCTACTGCTTCCAGCTGCTGTTGCTGCTACTGCCGCCTTCTGCGGCTCCAGGTGAAGTACAGGGGCTGCCGAGTCGCTTCCGATGCTATGATGCACTGCAGCAGCAGCAGCAGCAGCAGCAGCAGCAGCTGCTGCTGCTGCTGCTGCTGCTGCCGTAGCTCCAGTTGCTAGCTGCTCAGGCAGTTCAGGAAGGTTGCTTCGGAGCTGACCAGCAGCAGCAGCAAAATGCCGCAGCAGCTGAACAGCAGCAAACTGAGAAGCAAAAAGCAACAGACCAGCCGCGAAAGTTTTCCCTGATTTGCCCATTTGGCAAGTGCTGCAATGTAAACTCTAAACCCTAAACCCTAAACCCTAAACCCTAAAGTGTAGGCCTGTTAGGTTGGAAAGGTATTTATTGAAAGGTCTTTTCAAGTACAGATGATGCACTTGGGAAAAACATAATATTAATAAGAGTTCAATGATTAAAATGAATTTAAGAAGTGAATTAAAAGATAATTAAAATTGAAAACTTGCAAAGAGAATTAAAAATGAAAACTGAGCCCGAATGGTCTCATTCATTTTTGTGTCTTTTGAATCACTGAACGACAAAATGTCTCATACTATTTTTCAAAAGACTTTAAAAATCGTTCATTTAAAAGTGGCATTAAATGGTATTTATTTCATTTCTTTTGAACAAACTTTGATTAAAAGAACTTCTTGAAATGCTGCTGCTCAGTGGACCAGTTGTTGCCGGCAAAATGTGACCACCGGTCACTTCTTTTGCTGCAGGACTTCGAAAAACATTTTTTTTTAATTTCAAAAACGATATTCAGTAAGACAGTAAAGCAGCACTTTCTTGAAAATGAGATTTTAAATGGCATTTGATTTTCAAGTTTTTGCTAAATTGCTTTTATTCAAAAATAAATACTTTAGAAGATTCGGATTGTTTTTTATTTTTTTGACAAACATTTCTTTATTTTGCATTTAATGGCAAATTAGAATTTTATTTCAATTCCTTTTTATTAAAAAATTTATTTATTTTGCATTTAATGTCAAATTAGAACTTCAGTTGTGAAGAGATGCGTTTATTTGCTGAGTTTCATCTGCAGCAGCAGCAGCAGCAGCAACAGCAGCAGCAGCCAGCAGCACTCTGGCCTTCAAAAGCGGCTCATTTTGAAGCATTTTAATTCAATTAAATGTTAAATAACATTAAATAAATTAATTTTAAACTACTAAATTTGAATAAATTAAAAATATTGCCAAAAAGTGAACCATTAGTGCAATTCGACAAATCCTGAAAACCAGAAACGCCACCCTCCCTGAGCGCCTGCACGACTGAGCAGCAGTTATAACCTTTTGAATGTCTTAAATTGAATTAAAATAAATAATGAAATTTATTTTTATAAATTAAATTAACAAATTTATTCATTTAAATCAAATTAATTTGCTGAATCCGCCTTTGAGCGCATGCAGCCGCTGCATGCGGCCGGGGGCTGTGGGGCTGTGAGGAGGTGAGCCTTCCCGGGGGTTCCTTTAGCAATTAAAATAAATAAATAAATAAAATTAATTTAATTTTTAATTTTAAATTATTCTGCTGCAGCGGCTCAACAACAAGCGCCCTGGAACGGCGTCCGCGACGTGAGACCAGCAGCAGCAGCAGCAGCAGCAGCAACAGCAGCAAAAGCGCAGAGTTGGGCTAAATTGAAAGCTTTTTAAAGCTGGCACTGCATGCAGAAAATTGCGCTGGCTTAGTGGCTGTAGTGTGTGGACTTAGTGGCACTTTCGGGGCCTCTTTGGAGTTGGGAAATAAAAAGTATAGGAGAGGTGGTGCAGCGCTGCTCCAGCAGCAAACCCTCAGTGCGTGTTTTGCTGCTGCTTCTGCTGCTGCTTGCTGCTGCTGCTGTCCCGCAGCCCGCCCTTGCTTCTTCCCTTTTGCTGCTGCTCCTAAAGGACAAAATGGCCCCCAAGAAAAAGGAAGAAGTTGAAGAAAAGATTCTGCTTGGCAGGCAAGACATACCAGTGGACCACCGCCGTGACCACTGGACCTTCGCCGATTTCTGGTCTTCTTGTTTCAATTGCAGCTCTTTTAGCGCAGATTCCTTTTCCATTTTATTATATTTCATAATAATTATCGTTTTATTTAAATGGCAGACTCCAGCGCTCCAAAACTATTAATTTCGGTTTTGAACTTGATGAGGTGTACGTACACCTGGCGCTGCGGCCCAGCGCCAGGTGTACGTATACCTGGCGCCACGGCCGGCGGCTACAGCCGCGGGGGAGTGAAAAGTGCAAAATGGTCAACATTCGGTCATTTTTATTCGTTTTTTTTTAATTTAAATTAGTGAAAATAAATTATTTTAATAAATGCGAAATATTTAATGCCTTTTTGCTGCTGCAGACCCAAAAATACCCTCAAAATGGGAATGGTCGGCCTCCCCAACGTGGGCAAAAGCACCACTTTCAACTTGCTCTGCAAACAGTCTGTTCCCGCAGAGAACTATCCCTTCTGCACAATTGACCCCCATGAAGCAAGAATGAACGGTGAGGCCCTGCTGCTGCTGCTGCTGCTGCTGCTGCTGCTACCGCTGCTGCTGCTGCTGCTGCTGCTGCTGTTACCCCTGCCCCTGCCACTAGTACCGCTGCTGCTGCTGCTGCTTCTGTGACCGCTACCGCTGCTGCTGCTGCTGCTGCCGTGACGCCACCGCCGCCGCTGCTGCTGCCACCGCTGCTGCTGCTGCTGCTGCTGCAGTGCCGGACGAGCGTTTCAAGTGGCTGTGCAGCCACTTCTCGCCGAAGAGCGAAGTGTCTGCGACTTTGTCGATTTTCGACATCGCCGGACTTGTCCCTGGAGCCCACAAAGGCGAGGGCCTCGGCAACGCCTTCCTCTCCCACATCCAGGCTGTCGACGGCATCTACCACGTTGTCAGCAGCAGCAGCAGCAGCAGCAGCAGCAGCAGCAGCAGCAGCAGCAGCGGCAACGGTAGCGGTTTTCGTAGCAGCGGTACTCGTAGCAGCAGCGGTATTCGTAGCAGCAGCGGTATTCGCAGCAGCAGCAGCAGCAGTGTTCGTAGTAGCAGCGAGTAGCAGTAGCAGCAGCGAGTAGCAGTAGCAGCAGCAGCAGCAAATGCAGCAGCAGCAGCAGCAGCAAAGAGGACATGTATACTTGTAGAATGCAGCAGATACAGAATATGCAGCTGCAAGACGCGTACAGTGCAAATAATTCATTTATAAGTAGGGGAAGCAGCAAATGGAAGATATAAATTTATTTTATAAATTTAAAATGATTTTTAAAAGTTCTGCATTTGGAGTTTAAACAAAAGACTAAAAGTATTTAAAAGATCCAAAATAAGTAAAGACCAAACAGCTGAAGAATGAAGAATACCGAACAGCTGCAACTGCATGCAAGCCTCCAACTGCTGCTGCTGCCGCTGCTGCTGCTGCTGCTGCTGCTGCTGCTGCAGGTGCGGGCGTTTGCAGACGAAGAAGTGGTGCACAGCGAAGGCGAAGTGGACCCTGTGAAGGACTTGGCAACAATTGCTGCTGAGCTGCGGCTGAAGGACTTGGAGAGGGCGCAGCGGCTGCTGGAGGAGCAGCGCAGCAGCAGCAGGCAGCAAAAGGTTCTCGACAAAAACAAAAAGGCGCAGGAAGAGGTTCTCCAGGCCGTCGTCAAACTGCTGCAGGACAACAAGTGGGTCCAGCAAGGTGCGCCCCCTCGTCGCCCGCCGCCGCCGCTGCTGCTGCTGCTGCTGCTGCTGCTGCTGCTGCTGCTGCTGCTGCTGCTGCTGCTGCTGCTACTGCTGCTGCTGCTGCTGCTGCTGCTGCTGAAC